ATACCTGTGACTTGCACGTGCGGGACTACTGGGATTGCTGACATGAACTTTCAGTCATTGAAGGAGTTATTTTCAAGGGCAGTAAAGTCATAATGCCACAGGCCCTCCAAAGAGGACTGCTACAGAAGATCCATGAGGGACACTTAGGCATTGAGACAAGCAAGAAGCGAGCAAGAGAGGTGAAGTATTAGCCAAGGATCAATCAAGATATTGCTCATGCAGATGAAAACTGTTCCACCTGCTTGAAATTCAGACCCTGCCAGCAGGCAGCACCACTAAAGCCTCAGCCTGCTCCACACAGGGCCTATGAGAAGGGGAGCACTGATCTCTTTAAGTGCAACTCCAGGGGGTATTTAATAGTTACTGATTATTACTCTTTGTATGCGGAAATCTGGACACTGCAGTGTACCAGCAGTCGCTCAGTGCTAGCTTGCTTGAAGGCCATATTTGCAAGGCATGGAATATTGGATGAAGTATTCAGTGATAATGGGCCACAGTTCTTCAGTGCAGAGTTTAGGCCATTTGCCATGGGCTGGGATTTTCGTCATACCACGTCAAGTCCCAATTATCCCCAATCGAATGGCCTTGCAGAGAGATCCCTTCAGACGGTGAAAAACCTAATGAAAAAAGCATTGGACAGTGGAGGGGATTTATATAAGGCACTACTGGCTTATCGTAGCACACCTCCAGACAATGGCTGGTCTCAGGCACAGTTGTTAATGGGCCAGCGGATACGGTCAAATCTGCCCATTACTAACACCTGATTGGAAAGTCCTAACATGGTAGCCGTAAGGGGAATGAAAGATCAGAAGAAAAAACAGAGATACTACTTTGATACAAGAGCTCGTGAGCTTTCACTGCTAAAGCCAGGTGAGAGAGTTTGTCTGAGGAATTACTTGTCGAGAACATGGGACCGGCGGGGTCCGGTGAAACAGCTGGTGCAGCCACGGTCCTATCTAGTTCAGACAGATCACGGAGGCATGCTTCGAGGTAATCACCGAGACCTACTCGTGCTTCCACTTAGCTCTCGGATGTCAGCAGGAGATACGGACTTGGATCAACCTCCGTTAATGGTTCCTAGTTTCTCTTCCTCCTCCTCCTCCTCCTCCTCCTCAGGTGAAGATACTAATGATCCAACAGAGAACCCCCAAACCTCGAATGAGGAGTCGATACTCCAGAGATCCAGGAGACAGGTGAAATGGCCAGCAAGGCTCGTAGAGGTCTGGGAATAAGTTAGAAGGACTTGAAGAATAGGAAAGTGAGTGGTAAAGACTCACTCCAGAGTGAAGTGCTGGTAACCACTCCTCTGTAGGTTGTGGAGTGTTTGGTGCGGTGGTGGTTTTGTCTTGCATTGTTGTTGTGGAGTTTTTGTTGTTATATTGTGATGGTTATTATTTTTTGTTTTTTAATGGACGATGTAGTGATAAGGACTAACTTTGGAGACAGTCTCGTACATGGGAATGTCTTATCATGTGAACAATTTGAGCACAATCCCTGGAGAGTAAGGAGGAATCCAGATGGAGGCAGCCACGTGGTCTGTGCTGGAGGAACCCCGTGCTGTGCTATCATTAAAACGCTGTTCTCCTCCTCATTCATAGTTGTTGTTAATCACTGTGGGACCTAAATCATTACAGTACTGATGCACCTGGGGGGGGTGCCCACCTTGACAGGTGACCCCGAGAGGACTGCAGGCAGTTTTGTAGCCTGTCCTGCCGGGGTGGAGACTATCACAGCTATTCACTCCCTTCCCCAACCCTTCCACTGAGCCCGTCATTTGAGGGGCGGCTGGACCAGGGAGCTCAGTGAACAGGTGACTTCTAAACTCTGCTTTTGGTGGCAGGTGTTTTTTTAATTGAAAGTATTTTACACGGTACTGCAGGCACATCCCAGGTTCTCCCAACATGCTGTGTTTCTACCAGACCCTGGGGAGTCCTTAGGCAAAAGGAGTCTCCTCCAGCAAAGCTGACTGCTTCCCTTTTTTATTTCTTACTCTCCCTTGGAGAAACAGCTTCAGGAAGAGGGGAAACGCAAGCCTTGGGGTCGGGGTGCCCTCATGTGGAGTCGACACCCAACTGCAGCAGCATGTGGCTGGGGATGAGTGGGGGGTGCACTCGGTAGCCGTGTTGGTCTGAGACAAGAAGACGTACAAAAAACTAGACCTCTTGGTTCCAAAATGATACCTTTTATTAGACTAACTGGGAAATTGCAAGAAACGGAGTTTTCTCGAGATTCACCAGTTGGTCTAATAAAAGGTATCATTTTGAAAGCAAGAGTTCTAGTTTTTTGTATGGGATGAGTGGGGATGACATGGGCTCTGGCAGCTGGTAGCTTGTAAAAGCACCGGCCCTTGGGCTGCTTTGCGCAGGAACAGCCCTTCGGGCTAGGAGGAAGAGCTTTAATGTATTTTTTTTTATGGTTTATTCCTCACTGGGTTAGGGGGATGTCTGAGATGACAGGGCAGACTCAAAGCTCTGGACTGGGGGGACCCAGACTGGCTGGCACCACAAGCCCTATGTTCGCCAGGGCACAGGCTCTTTGAGCCTGCAGATCTCTCAGGACCCATCAGGATGTCTGAGGTGCCCCGGAAATCACAGCTACCTCCACAGCACTTACAATCCTTGATTCTTGGCAGCAGAATTGCAAAGGGGCCCTGCCACCAAGGTTATCCACTCTTCCTGCTACCCCGTCATCCAGCACCAAGAAGAATTCACATCATGGAGGGGCCTTAGCTGCATTTGCCACCCCCAGACTCGTGGCCGTGGAAGCAGGATGACTCAGCTTAGCTTTGTCCCAGCCCCTTCCCATGTGTTTTGAGAATTACCCTTTTGTGAAAGGACTCCTCAGAGCTGGCAAGGAGGAATACTCATAAGTATAACCTTGGTGGCAGGGCAGCACTGCAACCCTCAGCCCCTTGGGTGCCGTCTTAAGGAAATCCATGGTGTTAGGAGCGGGCAACACCAGCCCAAGTCCCTCGTGTACACCTTAGGCCTGGTGCAGATCACTTCACTGCCAGATCCTGAGCGCCTGTCTGTGAAAGTGCAGCAGGTCTTTGTCACCGGACGGGCGGGTAATTGAACAATTATATGAATTCCTTTCGGTAAGACATGGCCTCAGCCGTGTATTTATTTAAGTGGATGGTAATGATGCATCAGCATTGAGGAGAGCCAGAGAGGAATGCCCGGTTTGAAGGTTTTGAATGGCAATGGCATGCTTTTCTCACTGCTGTTTCTAATAACCTGGTTAGGGGTGTGTGACCTGTCTGCTTCCCCACTTTACCCTAAAGCAGGGGTGTCAAACTGGTGTGACCCCCACAGGCCAGATCTGGACCCACTTCTGGCCATGGGGTGAGTGGGGGCAACAGGGACCCTGGCAAAAAGAAGCCACAGTGGTTAACACACTCCCTGACACGGACACACATCCCCAACAGGGCTCTGTACCCTGGTGTTGGTGGTAGACGCCCCCTGCTCACTGCACCCCTGAATTCCTAGCCCATCTAGGAGTCCATGGGTCATGTGTTCAAATCCCTGCTCAACAGCATGGTGTACACATCCTGGGTTGTGTTTGTTGGCTGTCCTGAGTGCAGAACAACTGGCTTTGCCACTGGTTAGTCTTTAAGGAGAGAGTCCCCAGTGTTGGAGAGAGACTGTGAAAGCTGGCACAGAATTTGCAAGAAGGAAGAGTAAAAGGGAAAGGAAGGCCAATATCCCTTCCACCAGTGGCCATGTCCCTTTTGAGGAAGAAGTGGGGGCTCCTTCTCATGTTCCTGGGCCTTGTCACACGTTACACTTAGGATGTGCTTTATTTAAGTTGCAGTGAGCATCATTATGAGTAAGAAAAGTTTCTAAGCACTCACACGGGAATGCTCACTGTGATCTACATAAATGCTCTCACTGCTGGAGCCCTTGAAGACTGGTGCACTGTGATCTGCTGTGGGGGCTGGGATGGACAAGCAGCTCCACTGCACTGGAGCCTCCCAGTAGTATCACCTCCTGATACTGAATCAGCAGGTGACTGCAATGGAGCATGCAGTTTGGGGCAAGTCAACTACTTGGGCCAGATCATGACACAACCTCTGCATCCCAGCAGAGCATTACAGAGGGCCCAAGACACCTTCCTGCAGTGTGTGTGGCAGTCTGAGGGCAAGTAGCAGCCTCTGGTCCCCTCCCAGGCAGCCTGGCTTTGGCTCTGTGCACTGTGCCAACACAGCTGGGTTCGCACCAGGGACACAGCCAGAGCGGGGTAGGTCTACCCAGAAGCCAGCCGAAACAATCTGCTTCCCAGGCAGTCCCTGATGTGGCACCTGACTCCCAGAGGCTCTTGGCAATACCTCTGCACTTCAGTCCCCCACCTCTGACAGGGGAGGTGGAAACTGCCCTGTCTGGCAGGAGCACAGCCTGCGATGCGCATAAAGGCCATGGAGAAAGTGCCATAGATGTGCAAAATGTTCACAACCGATGTGCCCATGCTGGATTTATTTCACCAGCTCTGCCCAGGCCTTGATACAAAGACAGAGAGTGACCCAGGCACTGCTTAGGAATCAGCAGATCCCATAAATCCAGCGCCGTCTTCCCACTTCACTTCCATGTTGCTGGGTCCGGTTTCTTTGGGGACGTGGTTACAGCCCGAAAATTCCTCTGACCTTGTGTTTATCTCCTATCTGTTTGTGAAGTCAACAGACTTCTCCTTGCCTCTGTTTCCAAAACAACTGCTTCCGGGCTTCTGGTAAATAAATATACTTTAAATAAATGATGCTCACAAAATTGCAATAACGAATCTGTGCCTGAACGTGGAAGACCAGGGAGGAATGAAGCTAGGGGAGGGCAGACTGGGCTCCACCAGCAGAGGGAGCATAAAAGATTGGAAGATCCCTCCACACTCTTCCATGGACCGGTTGCTGAGCCCAGCCTTTGATATATTTGTACCAATGTCGATGCTGCAGCCTGGCTAGGAGGGGAATCAGATCAGTCTTGACTCTGTTGAACACAGGGGAAAAGGTTGATCTTAAAAGTTGTTCACTAGCTCAGATAGGAAAATATTACCATTCTTGGTCCCTAAATGTAGAGCAGAACCATAAATTGTCCTTCTAAGTCCACTACTAGAGGGTGTGCAGAGCTCTCCAGGCCATAGACATCAACAGATCACGGGCTTTCACCCTGCAGAAGTCCTACTCCAAACCCCATTTTGCAGACTCTGTTACATGGGTTCGGACACACAACACACTGCCTATCTAGGAAATGTGGAGTCCATACAAGATGCGCTTGTCCCCTGAAAAACACGTAGTAACTTTATTACATCGGAAAAGTATCACAGGGAATGTCTGTTCTCCAGGTCAGCTTCATCTGAGGTAGCAGCTGGCTCAACATGAACCCCATCATCTACTGACCAGACTCTGCACTGCCACCTCCTGCAGGCAGCTAGCGTAGGACAACTGGTCGTGTGTAAGCTCCCACAGAAGTTATTCCCTAGTAATTACATCATGTGTCTGCACCCCCATAATCCTCAAACCTAGCAGCAGTCACCTATACCACTGTCTGAGATACATGTTTTTTTTACCAAAACTGTAGCACTGAATCATAGACTAGCAGGACAGACAGCGACCTCAGGAAGTCCCATTCACTCCAACCCCCTGCGCAAGGCAGTCTGACCCCTGACCAAACCAGCCCTGTATCAAGCATCCGTATACAGTACTTGAGTAGCTGAGGGTGTATTTTTGCAGAGCACTAGCTCAAAAATGAAATCTAAACCAAAAAAATATCCCCACTACACACTTTAAAACAAAAGGCAGCCAGGGCTGTGGAATTAATATTTATATATACTTGCAGGGCGAACAAATAGGAAGCAGCTGAGCTATCAATGACTGGTCCATTGGAAGTGCAATGTAGTTAGTGACATTTTTGGAAGTTGGGTAAAACGTGCGTAGAAACGCTGCTTTTGTTTGGCTTGAACCTGTTTGTAGCTGGATGACCGTACAAGGATGTTTGCTTGCAAATGCAAAGCAAAAAGGAAACAGACAGAGATCCTTTTAAAAAAAGGCCACCCTCCACTCCCATAAAGAAGGAAGAGATAAGGAACTATGTGATATCCTCACCACACACAGTACTGAAGGTGACAGGCTACCTTCTTCATGTCCCCATGTCCTTAGAGTTACATATGCACGCACGCTCAGTGCTTCCCCTGAGGCTGTGTTGGTCCAAAGCGAGATTCTGTAGCTCCTGTCTCCTACCAAAGGGGAATCCCTGACTCTTCACCATCACATTTAGCCCATGCTTCATAATCAGAGTAGCTTGGACCACTGTTGGATTGTTACTGGGCACCTGTAGAGCCTTTTACCCAGTTACAGTGGACTGCAAAGGCTTAAGCTTGGTCCTTTTGCCTGCCCCACCAACTCTAGAGCAGGTTCTCAGTGGGTTGTTCCATTGCAGCCATGGCCCGTTGCCCATTTCTCACAGCCGGGGACTTTGCCCCCTCCCTACACTGGCCGCAGTTCACTTCTCCATCATAAATCCTGAACCTGCAGATTGCTCCTCTCCTGACAGTGTTTTGATTTGTATCAGCCGTTTTACAGAATATCTATCTCCCGCTGTCCCAAGATATGATTTCCCATGACAGGGAGAACACAGCACTTCCTATATCCACATTATTGTGCAGGCTGCCAGTTGCACAGTCCAATGGCTCCTTGGCACTGCCATCCATAACAAGTACACTGAGTGCTATCTGTCCCCCGGGCTCCCGCAGCCAGCAAGCATGCAACATCCAACCCTTTATGGCAAGACTGAAGGGCTACAGCATGCAGGCTTCCCAAGAGACAGCAGCAAAGCAACAGATTTAATGGAAAAACAAGCTGAATACAAACTACTCCAATTGTGGAGCACTGCTATCAGCTCATCAGCTGATTAGTATCCAGGATTCCCCGATACCCCTTTGCCATGTGCTTTGTGTTGCTTGGGATACCTTTACAAAGTCTGATTTTCCGTGCAGGGAAACAATCAGCAGAAGTCAGTGTGTTTTTGCTTTCAATACAGCTCATAAAGTCTGGCTTCGCTGAGCTCTCCAGCTCATGGCAAGATGCCAGTAGGTGACTCTAGCTTGAGAGCCTCTGTTTTTATGTTAATACCTATGGACTTAGGATAAAAACTTTCCAGAAGTACCTCGAGGGGTGAAAAGTGAAAGGCTCATTGTCATGAGTAATGCAGGGTCTGTCACTGCAGTGAGTCTGGTGTGGTTTAGGCATATCCAAGGCAGCTTTAGACTAACTGACACAAATGCCAGTGGCAGTTTAGCATAGAGGTCAGGCTGGGCTGCTAAACCAGCCTATGAACCAGGGTAAATTAGTCTATATGGAGATCCAGGATGCCTGCTACTGGTACCCAAACTAGCCAGTTTAAAGACAGGTTGCATATGTCTATATAACATTGCAATTGTGCAATCGCTGCTACAACTACATTGTAGACATATTCTCAGGTACCTAGGAGCTAAGGCCAAGATTTTAAAAATCAGCAGGTGTCAATTTTGGGATATCCTTTTTGAAAATCAAGTCCCTAAGGGCTCTTAAAATCACTTTTGAAAATAATAGCTGTGTCACTGAAAGGCAACAGGACATACCTCCTCAGTGCCTATATCACTTCTGAAAACAGGTTTTAAAACCTAAATCACTTATATATGTACAGAAATGCAAACCTTAGCTGTACCTCTCTGGTTCCCCATGTATTTCAATGGTCATCCTTTGCAGTCCAAATAAATAACTGTTCTCTGTCCTACTGCCTGTAAAATGTAACATATTTGCAATCATCAGCCATTTCATTAAAAATCTGAAGACTTTAAAATATATGGATTATCCACAGAACTCAGAAATCAGGAGCCTTGAGATCAGTCACCCTACTCTGATTAATCTGGATTTATTCCCTGAAAAGAGATTCTGATTGTAACAGTGGATTTACCTCTCCCTGTTCAGTTCATCATCAATATATTACAGATGGGAAGGGCAGGCTCTAGAGCGAACAGACTAGGTAGAAATCTACAGTCCTAAGCACCTGGCACGCTCTGCAGATCATACACCACGTATGCTGATGTTCTCATAGCTGGGCGGTGGGGTAGCCCTTGGGTCATCCTGCAACTCCATCTCCAGCCGCACAGGTAAGCTCCTGAGCAGCTCGCTGTCTGAGGAGCTGCGTCTCCAGCTCCCTTGCCACATCTCATCCTCATCAACGTCTTGGTGAATTGGCGGCGTATCCTCCTCCTTCCTGCCAGGAGGCTGTATGTAACCAAGGGTGCACGCAGCCGGCCGGCAGTTCAGGGCTTCTTCATAGGTGGGGATAGCGTTGGCGTCCCAGGTGCTGAAAGGAAAAGCAAAGCAAAACAAAACTGCATTAGAGGAAACCCAAGGGTTGTTAATTTGTCTAAGAGAGTTTATAATGAAACACAGGCAGTAACCTGCAGAGGTTCCAAAACACCTGGCTTCCCAGCAGAGAGGTCAGGTTTTTGTCATGTTACTCTGTTTAAACGTAGAAGGGGGCAGGGGAGGCGAAACCCACCACGACCAACTGCACAACAATAGTCACTCTTCTGCCAGATGCTAGTCCCTCCAGCCAAGTGTGCAAAGCACATGGTGGTGGTAGTGGTGCTGGGCATATGGCCAGATCTCCAAAAAGCACTCAGCACCTAACAGCTTCCACTGAGCACTGCTGACACTCTGGCCCCCGGCACTGGTGGCATTTTCCTTGCAGGTTCCAGAAGCCACGTGAAAGGGCAGATACACTCATTCATACTGCTTTCCCATGCAGGCCACTGCAGACAGGAGGAGAGGCAATTCAAGAGAGTGCTGATGTCTTAAAGGATTACCCATGTCCTGAAAGAGGTTTTGAGGAACCCTGGCTTAAGCGGCTGATGTACACAATACCTTGGTACAATGCCGCAAGGTATCTTGTGGTAGCGCATGTAGCAGCATGCTGAAAAGTGAGAGACTGAATGCCTGAGAGGGGAAGAGGGCTGCATGATTTGGTCAGAGCAATGTGCAAGCTGCTGTTGATCTGCCTTAAATCATACGGGTTTGTCTTTAGGAGACCTGGATGCCTACAAATGAACCACACTTCCTCCAGTGCCTTTTCAAATCCCTCTCTCCCCTTATTCACCTTTGTTTCTTACGGTGCCATCCTACACCGATTGTGCCTGCCTTCAGTGCCCCATTTGCATCTCCCACAAATGTCTTCCTAACTCATGAAATGTGCTATTCAAGCTAATTCTTAAGGGCAATACCTTTGCCTCAAATTCCTCTTCAGCAGCCACAGCTGGGAGGCCTGGAGGCCCGTGATGCCCATGTTCTGCTGGGCTGAGCTGAATTTCTGGTTCTTTGGGTCTAAATTATACCAAGAGTATAATGCATAATTATTATGCATATCTCCCCTACCCTGGGGGTCTTCAAGGGCGGGTTAGATAGGCATCTAGCTGGGCCCATCTAACCCCAGCACTCTTCCCTGCCTATACAGGGGGTCGGACTCGATGATCTATTGAGGTCCCTTCCGACCCTAACATCTATGAATCTATGAATCTATAAGAGCCAGGACTCAGGCTGCCAGGCAAGGTACCTGCCTAACAGGCTTCCAAACCAACCTATAACAAGGGGCGACAGGTAGGCATAGCAAACGAAGGGAGAGAAAATGGAAGGCTGGAGGGTAGAGGAGCAAAGGCCCTAAGAGCAGTCAGGGTATGCAGGTCGCTGCAGTAGAGCTGGGGCTTTCCAGTGCCTTTACTTTGTGGCCTCAGATCCCCGGGGTGCTCCCATGCTGCACATGCATAACAGCCACATTATTCTGAACGTTATTGTTCGTTTGCCCAGGTTAATCCTTAACCAACCGTCAGTGAGGAGGACCTGGGAAAAATACAATATTTGTGCTACCAGTCTCGCACTGCTGTTACTTTCAACCTCCTTTTGCTGAGTAAACACAGCTTGTGTACAGGTAAAACATTCACACAGCTCTTCACCTTCTCATTTCCCCTTTCCTGAAGGGAAGATGGTTATAAATGAGGGGGAAGCAAGTCAGGCCACAACCACAAACCTCTCATAAAAGGACATGGGCTGAGATGTGATGATTGTATGGCAGCAATAGGACCTTGTGACACTGCTTTGCAGTTGGCAGACACACAAAAGAAACCCCAAGGGGCCCCTTACAAACTAGGGGGTCCCGATTCATAGGGCCTTGGAAACTCAGAACATGCAGACTTCTGCATGCAATAACAGGGAGGCAAGGCCTGGGAATGGACTGTCGTGGGAGGGCATATGTCAAGAGACTATCTTTTATTTTATTTAGCATATGCAGTTTCAGCATATTGTTTCCATCATCTTAAGCAATATCATCACCAGTGGGAAGAGCCTGAAGGCCACAGGTAGCAAAAGCACACGAGTCAACGATGTGGGACATGGTTTGAACTTGTCCACAAGGGCATTTGTCATCGTAGCAAGGGCCCAATTGCTATAGGTCTGAGGCACAGTGACCCCGTCCAGTTTGAAAACAGTTGAGAAGTGACTATCGTGAGGATGGAGTTCACTGCAGGGATTGAGGAGTTTGCAGTACATCACCCTACTGTGCATCAGTCCTGACCTAGAAGGATTGAGCCTCTTGAGGGTAGCCATGCGGTATTGGAGAACTCTCTAAAATGGAAAGTCCTGTATATAAATAATAGTGGGTAAAGTGCCAGTAGATGACATTCAAGCATTCTGTACTTGGCCAATGCCCAGCAAAAGGAATCCAAACCTAGGGTACCTACCTCTTACAGTCATGCACTTTCATATAACACTCCACATTGCTCCTGGGATTCGTAGAAACAGCCTGATTTTTGTTGCTGTGCACAGCAGATGGCTAATGGCCTGGAGCTTTTAATTTCAATACCCAAGAGGACAAGGCTGTCTAGCTCTCAGCAGGTTTCATTTTGGGTGAGGCAAAAACAGAGCTGGTCAAAACAATCCAGACAGAACATCTTACCCCTTCAGACTGTGCAGGTGCAGCAAAAGCAAGAGGTTTTGTGGAGATCGTCTGATTTTAACCAAGTGGAGCCCAGGCAGGTTTCTGAACAGCTCAACTACCTGATTCCCCATCATGGCCCAACCCCACAGCTGTTGGGTTTGTGATGGTAGCTTAATGGCCCTTCCCACAGCTATAACATTTGATTGGTGATGATTTTTCTCTTTAATTTTACCCATATTTAGTACACTTTGCTTCTATTTCAGGTGGGATTCATCATAAAGACAAAGTATTTATAACGACCCCGAGGCCCACAGGGTCTGCAGCTTTGAAGCAACCCGTTGGCAGGCTTAGACCCATGGATCCATTCCCTTTTGCAGAGATCTTACAAATTTGGGGGCAAGGGGGTTGTCCTGAATTAGAGCAGGGAAAAACATAATACTGAAGTTGTCTGCAAAATGGAATAGCTGGTCTTTGCACAGCTCATCTGAAGTTTTCACGTGTGAGTGCTAGCACAGCTGGTGTTCAGTGAGCTCTTTCTAAGCAGTTCTGCTCTCTTTCCTGCCCTGGGTGTATGTGGTGCTGGGTAGATAACCTCTGGGATTTTAGGGAAGAGCAGAGGGAAGACTAACCTGGAGTGAGCCTGAGCCTAGCAGACGTAACTGTTTGCACTTCAGCAGATTCAAGCTGGTGTGGATCAATGCAGCTCTCCTGAACTGAACTGATTCAAGCCAGCTGAGAATCTGGCCTTCCAACTTTCAAATGCTTGCCAAAAAGCAACTGGAGCAAGTGGAAGCTGGAGTTTGTGTTCCCAAGAGAGACATTTGCGGTAAGTGCCTCTGTTCCTTTTAGGCCTTTGTTTCCTACAGCCCACTTTAATGAAGAAAACCTTTTCATGGTACAGCAAGACAGCACTTTCCCTCTTGGCAGTTAATTTTGTTTTAAAAAAACGCACCTAAAACTTCTCAAGGAGGGAGATCAAGCATGAGCACAAATGAGAAAAAATGGCTTTGAGTCAGAACTAGGAATAAGTCTCTGAGGCTTTATAGGATGCTTCATGCCTGGCTATGGGTGTAGACGACCATGTTTAGAGGTTTAGTGCTAGTCCTTCCATAGCCTTCACAGGCACTGGGTCAGATCCTTAGTCCAGCTGTATTTCTGTATCACTTAGCATTTGGTTTGTGTTGATTTTGCTCTTTAGGCAGAGGCATAACAAGCAGTTTCTGCACCGTGAGTTGTACTCACAGCTGCTGCCACCATTCAAAATCAGCCCCATGTCCCCCTAGCTGTGCAGTATTCATATTTATTACCCTCTGCTTGTATTTCAGGTGGAGTCAATTGTACAAACGGGGAGCTTTGAGGACTGCATACTCCAGGGAGAAGAAAACTAGAGTCTGACTTGAAGAGTAGGGGAAGCAGGAGCCTGATGAGGGAGTTAGGTCTTCTGTCAAAGACAGACATTTCACAGTATCCTTCCCCACCCGTGGCACAAGGATAGTGTCTGAGGCTTGGGTGTAGTCGAGCACAGCCACGTGGCTGGAAGCTTTGGTTAAACCAGGGGTGTCAAACTCAACTAGCCCCACAGGCTGGATAAGGATCACTGGGCCAGTCTGCAAGCCAGACCAGGACCGACCCCCTGCTCAGCACCCACAGCATTGGATCCAGCCCAGGCACCACATGCAGCAAAGCCCTGGGCCTGGCTGTGCACGTGGCATGCAGGGGGGTGCGCTGCCCGTGGCACGCAGGCTGGACCCGACACTGCAGAGGCAGCGCAGGGGGTCAGTCACGGTGCCACATGCAAAGACCCACAGGCCAGATCACGTGGCTTCATGGGCTGGATCTGGCCCGTGATCCATATATTTGACACCCCTGAGTTAAAGTGTTGCCAATTCTTGGTCTACTGAAAGAACATGGGTATTCAGGTGGTGGCATGTGCCAGGAAATCAATCTCTGTTACAACAAATACAATGTGCCCAGCTCCACCCTGAACCTACGGAATGGAGAGTTTAATCTGAGCAACAGGGAAAAAAGCCCCCAAATAAGCAATTGGGCAAATGGCAGAGATTTCCACAGGGCGTAGATGGAGCAGCCTCACCACAGGCTAATGCACAGCGAAGTTCCTAAAATAAGTTTTCCATCCAATGCAGAGGGATGAGGCTGAGAGACACTAATTCATTTTCCCAGCCCTAATGGAGAGGAGGATTGTTGTTCCATTGCACATCCGTGCTGACCTGCCTGACACTTCCCAGTATTTTGCAGAGCTGTTCCCATCATCTTGGTAAAACAGACAGGCCAAATACAAAGGATGGATTGCCCTGCCAGACCGTTTCAATGGAAAGGAGCTCCCCCTTCTCCCAGCAATCCCACCAGTCACACCATGGTGTTCTGCTTGCTGAAATCTGTCAGAGAGACTCAGTCTGATGATTGTTCCCTTGGGCTAAAAACAACCACAAACGATGCTGCTCCAGCAAATATGCATATGGAGAGAGCCAAACTGCAAAGTGAGCAAACACTACAAGGAACCACAGGGGCTTGATGCAGCAAGCACGGAGAAGAAGTCTGCTGCAGACTGGGCAATGGGAAACACATCCAAACAGGAGCTTCCACGGCAGCAGTGCCTATCTCAGAATCACAGGAAATAGGGCTGGAAGAGACCTGGAGAGGATTTGGCAGGATCAACAATATTTCAGCCCTCCCTGACCAATATTTATCTACCAGGTCTTGAAAACTTCCAGTGATAGAACCTCCTTCATTCATCTATTCCGGTGCTAAACTATCCTTAGAGTAGAAATGTTTTGCTCATGATTAACTTATCCTGTGTTTGACGCAATACTTGTATGTTCTAAAATGATCAAACACTACAGCAGCCACAAGGGAAGGATTGGGACTGGGAGAGAGAGGCAGCATCCTTAGGTAGTTATCTCATGGTGGCACACATTAGTGGGAATATCCCAACCCACACCTCCTCCGTTCAAACCTCACAAGGGTCCAAAAAAGCCAAGACCTTGGCTTAAAGAAAGAGGATTGCATCTTTATGGCATGGGTCGGCAACATACGGCCCTCAGGCCAGATCCAGCCCACAGAGTCACTAGATCTGGCCAGGAGGGTTTGACAGCATGTTGATGGCAGGGATTTTGTCCATGCATATCGTCACACTGGGTCTAGGGCTAGGCAGTGAGGAGCTGCACCTGTGCCACAGCCAAAGAGCAGGAAGAAGCAGTTGTGGTGGCAGCAGCCAGGTCAAAACACCAGCCTGCATTGGACCCAAGAAGGATGTTCCAGCCCACAGCTAGATACTGCTTTAGGCGGGGGGGTTTGCAACTTCAGGCTCGCTTGAATCAGGTTTTCCACCTTTTCTCTTTGATCACAAGGGCTAGAAATTCACATTAATCATACAAATCTTTCAACTTTAGGAGCCGGAGCTTAAAAAAACCTAGCAAATATGGCAACATGAAATGAGAACAGTTATGAGCATTGGCAACAGTGGGGCCACACTTCACTAACCCTATCCCCTTGGTGAGGAAGGCTGTGTTTGTGCAAGGCCTGGACAGTATTAAATCCCACATAAAAGCTAAGTCTATGATCATTTAAATCTGCGTATCTCTTTTTACGCTGTGCACAGCCACAATGACAACTGGAACTCAAAACGAATGCGTTTGATGGAGAGGTCCTTAATGAGAATAATTTAAAGAACACGAGTCTGGAAGGAACCTCCTAGCTTATCAAACTGAGGACCTTATTTTCATAGGCAATGACAGCATACAAGCTTTTCCATGACCTGGTACTGTTCTTTTTTAAAAACGTAGTTAGTTTTTTTGCCACCACTCCTCTATTGGAAGGCCCTCCCTGAACCTCGTTGCTCCGCTGGCTTGAAACCTTGCTCTAAGTCCCAACCGCAATTTATTCCCGGCCAGGTTCAACCCATTAAATGACCCAGTAGCAGACATGGCACTGACCTGCACGTCCATTTTTCAAGAGGCTCCACCGTGAAGTAGTGAAGGTCTCTAGGAAAGTGGTATTGATAGCGCTGAGACACCACCCTAGCATTTGCTTTCACAGACCACAGGAGCCCAAAGAGGAGGAGGATCCCGCCGATGCCACAGCAGAAGAAGCTGACGGACCTGAGCAACGCATTAGAGGAGCTGGAGCTGGGGACCACTTCGGCTTCTCCGTGAGGCACAACCTGAGGGTCATTACTAGATGTGGGCTCCACCTCTCCATCGCTCCACCAGGCAAAACAAAGTGTTCCTGTCACCAGCAGGACAGCCCCAAGGATGGTCACTCCATAGCGGAAAGAAGCAGCAGCCATTCTACAGATGGAGGCCTAGGTATCAAACAGTTCAAAAGGAAAAAGTGACAGGGGCTATATCATGGTGTAAAGGAAAGGGATGTGGGTCAATAGCGACACTGTCCTGATTTCCAGAAGGGAAAGTCTCCCAGATGGGACAGTTGTCAAGCTTGGACCACTCTGTAGCTTTGACACCACCATGTTTTCTGAACTTGCTTACTAGGGGCCAAACTCTGCCCTCGTAAATGGAATTCCTACCATGACAAATGGAAACTACGCACATGTCTGAGGAAAGAAAGGCAGGAACAAATATAGCTCCGGCTGTGGGTATGTGAACTTTCCTGTAGCCTTATAAATATCTTTATAGCTTAAAAGAAATCCTGATGTTCACAGCTAGGCTAAATGAAAGCCTAGAATTGTGGATCCCAGCAGTCAGCTCCAGGGACTTGCACAAATCTTGTCTTTGGATTTCATTCCCCACTTCCTCCCTCTTGGAAAAGTGCCAGATTGTTTTATGATCAAAGCAAAGCTCTTTGAAAGAGGTTAGGGGAAAGGACATAAATGTATCATGTCATCACTTCCAGAACAGTTAAAATGGCTCATGTCTATGTAGTCTCATCTAAAAAGTGAATGCAGATAATAGGTCAGAGCGACAGCATGTATCCTGACACAGCTGACTGCTAAAATATAGCTGCAAATAGAGCAGGCAGTGTGGCCCTCTTGCTCTCTGAAAGAAAAGGGCCTAGCCCAATCTCTAAAAATTACGCAGACTAAGATTTATGCACGTATTCTGGCTGCAACTGAACTATTCACAAGACCCCATGCCCTCCGCAGAGGTTCGACCTTCGTTATGCAGTAATGTTCATAGACCCTGCAGCATTCTGGAAATTCTGCAGCAGTTTCATTTAAACAAGACATGGTATTTATTTGATATTAAATGTTATCTTTATGCTCTCCTGAAGTTGTAGTTTTTTTCCACCAACAGCACATCACTGCAACCCAGGAGGTGCTATGGCACTGTAGAGCTGGGGAAGATACATTAGGGCAGCCAGCATTCTGAAATTATGGGGTAAGCAAATGAGCTGGATGTCGCTACTGAAATAATCAGCAATGATACAAATAGCAGTGTTAAGATCTGTGTCGTTATTAGTGTTCAGAGTTAACCACACACTGGGATCAACAGGAAAGTTCAAGTTGTGCAGGTCTATGGTTTCAACAGCCTCAGGGAGTCACCACCATATTAGTTAATTTGAAAGTATGAACAATGTAATCTTCAAAGCCATTCTGGTCAGAAATAGGTTCTGAAGCCCCATTCCCTACATGGAAAAGTTTCCA